GTTACATTACATTAATAGATAAACAAAGTCATTACATATAATATAAGTAATTATATAATATTAAGTGACTTGCAATCTTCATTAGACCAATAAAAAGGATCACAATTTAATCAAGTTTCTATGAAGTTCTCTACGTATTATTTTTAATTATAACAAAGGACTATCGTATTGTATTATCTTTAATAATGACATATTATATTGATTTTCAGAGCATTGTTGACGGGTGCACTCATGGTAACTTTATTTTTGGGTGGACGATACCTACTAGAATTGGACCGTCAGAATAATGATGTCTCCATTTCAAACATGACAGGACTAGGTTAAAATTTGTAACTATAAAATCTGAATATCTGCTCTTAAATTAATTATTAGTTATATATTACTTGTTAAATAATATAATATTATAAAAACTACTTACAATTTTAGGCGAAGACAAGCTTCTGAAATTGATGTCTGGAAGGTTTTATGGATAATAAAATTAACAATATAGGTACTTTATAATAAGATACAATATTAGGTATTATAAATGTAATGTAAGTTAAGAAATGTTTATTATATCGATAGCGTTATTACTAATTAATTTTAGATTTACGAAAAAAATAAAATGATTGTTGTTACATACGTATTTTTAATGTATATACAAAAAATAAGGCATCTTCTCCATTAATTTATATACAATATTAAATCCACAACAAGAAATAATGTGATGGAAAATATTACTCGCCTTTTAGAGCTAGTGCTGCATCAGATTAGTTTGTGCTTATTCTAAAGAATGTAAAATGTTATCTCTTTGAAAAATTACGGTGAGACCTTTGCGTATATAAAAACATATTATTCTGACGAATAAAATTCCGTCATATTAGAATACTACCCGTGCCCCGTTCTAGAACAAACTGACATAATATGTGTGAATGTAGAGATCCACAGATTGTACAGCGCCTGCAGTAATACATTGCATTTATTTATGTATTATTATACTTACGCCTGTTTAAAATTGCCGACTATATTGCTGCTGCGCTAGGACAAGAGGACGATCCAGATACATAACTTAGTGTCAATGTATCCAACACATCCGTGGCATTTCACACCAAAAATTTTCCTAGTTTCCATGGGACCAGGGTCATAACGTCAGGCCGTTTCCCGTTGAGGACAGTGCCACTTGACTTCAATATTGCTGGTATTTGAGTCATCCCCTATAATTTATGTGTAATACTATTAAACATGGCATGACGCGATATTCGACCAGCACTTCTCATGCAACCTATCTCTCTCAACCCATCTCCCAACTCAATAACAGTATCCAGACGCAAACAAGCTGCTAAATTGCGAGGTATGGTAGTCATTTTCATTATTTCTCCAATTCACCGACATGAACATATTCCGTGCCCAATATACTGCCATTAGCAAGATACCCGCTTATTATGGGATTTAATACATTGTGTTTTCTGTATGGCATACTGCATTATATTTTCATTCTTAGTATATTTCTTAAGTATTATCCATGATTTAACTTACTAATATATTGTGTCTATTCAGGTGAGTTATATAGATCCATAATGACCATGTTTAATTGGTACACAATTGACAAGAAAATTAATATCATAGAGGAACAAAAACAAGTTGTGGTTAGATGATCTATTTAGATGTTGATTCACACAATGCATGTTTATTTAGAAAATTTGTCGTTTGTCACCGTCAAGGCACGCATGGGCGAGACGCATTGTATGAAGGCACCAGTCATATAGTAGTTTATATGATGGCTGGTGGAGCTGGGCTGTGAGTATAATTTATTTCTAGTTTATTATAAATATTCAGCATTAATTTATCTTTATATATAAAATAAGTTTACAAAATTAGGAAGTCTAGGGAATTCATGAGTCCCCATTTTGGTCTTTAAATTTGTCTAATTGAATATTCGTTATTAGATACTTCAGAAATTACTAATTAATTTCTAATAAATAGATTTTTGTAATTATTCACAAACGATTAGTTATTCGTAAATTTTAAAATAAATTAAAAATGTATCTACTTTTAGTTGAATTGTTTCTATAAGTAAGTGTAATTAAACATGTCAAAAATACAGTCAATTAACATTTATGTACTTAGTTCTTCAATTAAGAGATTCTCAATAATTTCTTCTCTAGTACTTTTTCTAATTAGAAAGAATTTTATAAGATTTTTATTATTAAGCGTTGTGTATCATACATTACTTCATGCATTTTTTCACTTCATCTTACAGAGTATTATTATTGGGCGCATTCGCATTTTCTGTATTTTGGACATCGAAATTTATACAGGAAATTTTCAACTCCACAGGGAATAAAACTTCAAAATTTACTGACGTCAAATTAAATACATCATTTACATTACCTATAGAATATATTGAGTACAAAGATTGATGCACTTATCATGTGATTTTCATTTAAACATTTCTATTTTAATTTTGTCTATCTATAATAGTATGTATAATTTATTTAAATTATTAATTGTTAATCATTCAATTTAATTATTTGGCTCCTACGTATTTGTAGTTGATATAATATTCGTAGTCAAGCTATTAGATCATTCATATTGTGAAATAAATGTGTACAAATAGATTATTACTTGAATACATCTGAAAGATGAATTTATCTCATGATATGTTTGCATTTTTTCACCTTTTCTCTTTTCTATTGAAAATGGCAATGATATAGCGTGTAATTAGTTTAGCTTGCAGTTATTGTTAGATATTGTAGAATACTATTTTTTAAGTTAATTTTACTTTAATTCAGACGCGATTTCAACCGCGTTAAATTAAAAAAAATATAGGCTATATGTTATTCTGATACATAAAGTATATTATTATAAAGTTACATCAAAATCCGTTCAGTAGTTTTTGCGTGAAAGAGTAACAAACATCAAGTATATTACATTGTTTAACTTCCTAACTGCTTTTTAACACAAAAAGATTTATAATTTGTTTGTGTTATGTATATTATGATGTTCATATAATAATAATAGTCATCATCTTAGGACAATTTACAAAGCGCCATCTAGTTCCAAGTTAAGCTAAATTACAAATTTAATAATGTACTGTCAACAATATTTACTTGTTATTAAATTTAGTTTTATTATTTGCAGAGCACTGATAACTGGAGTATTATTCTTCGCATTTTATATGTTAACACAAGATGTCCGAAAAAGCGTGTTTAATCGTGTAAAACTTCTATCAAGCGATGATTATGAAGAGTCGTTACAAAATAATGATGACTGGTTTATGATAGAAACGACAACACAGGTTTAAGAATGACTCAAATATCACAGATTTTTATATTATACAATTGTAATTTACAAGTGCAAAACGTAAGTAGGTATATTACATACCTATTCATATAATTGATTTGTAATAATAATGAAACAATGCTATATTAATGTACCTTTTATTTTCATTAAATTTTTCTTATAAATTTTGTCATTAGTTTAAACACAAGTACAGACGCAGAGTTGTGTGTAATGTGTATTTCATTTATAATAATTATATATTATTAATATTATTTTTCATATACTGTACTGAGAAAATAATTACTATACATTCTAGAAAATTATTAGATCAACATAGATAAAATCATTATTTAATTGCATTGATGTTTAAAACAATATTTCTTTACGTTAAAACATTATATAATTAAATATTTTTTAATAAAAATAAAAAATAAATAAATACAATTATAATTGTTTTATATATACATATTAATAATTATAAATTGCGTCTGTGCTGTCACAATTAAAAATTGCCGTATGTATTTGCATTTTTAACTAAAGAGTCAATAAATTTTCCATAATTAATGCAGATATAATTACTTTTTGCTCCCTTAAGTACCGTTGAACACTGTAAACTCGATTGATTCATACATACCAACCACATAAGAACTACAACTAATACATACAAACTATCCAACTATCTACAAATACAAGTAAAGACGTACTAGGGTTTCTGATTTTACAATTATGGTTATTATTAATTCGAGAATTTTCTACAAATAATTCCATTTTATTTTTCAAAAAATACCAATACACTCGCACGCATCAAAGCATGGTAAATGAAAAATTAAGAAAGCGAACAAAATCGAATAATAGTTTGTTGTTAAATACAAAAAAAAATTGATGTCGACACGATTTCTCGAGTTACTAAAATTTTTATTTCTCATTCCTAATATTGCCAACATTCCAGAAAATTTTGTTTTTGATAATTACCTGTCAGAAACCTTAATACGTGTTGTCTGATACAATACCTTATAGTCATAACACCGTGGTGACAACGCAAAGGATTAACAGTTTGTGATGTAGACAATATAACGAAAAAATACATATAAACATTGGTTTATATCCTGACTATATGCGTGATCGTTTAAAGATAGCTATTTTCCAACAGTAAGATTGTATATAAAAAGCTTATGAACTATTTTAGCTAGATTTTTAGGAATAACTTACCCAAGACAGTTTTAACTGTTTTTGAGATTTATGTGTATTCCTTTTAACGCATATAGTCAGCAACATGTACACGACTCCTAACTAGTGCCTAAGCTACCATACCTACAACAGTATAAATATAATTAATATGGTTACTAAACATATGTAATTTATATAAAATTGTGCGTCCTAATTATTACAATCTAATTGTGTTTCATTTTTTACTTCATCTTATAATATTTAAGATATTGTGTTATATTTAATTATACGTCAACAGTTGAACAATACTCTTATAACGACAGTTTATACGTGATGTTAGGGTAGCCATGAAATACTTGTTACATTTGAATTAGTATTTATATTTTTTGGTAAGTTGACACCAGTCGTCGAATGTTAACGCGCATGGTGACTCGAAGGTTTGGTTGTGTGGTTTTCTGTAGGTAAAAATCTCACACGCACTAACTCCCTCCTTCCTCCCTCTCATAGGGTGTAATCTTTAGAAAATTTTCCACACATTAAAAAAAGGATAAGATGACACTGCAATGATATATTAATATATATCCTTTGTTATATATTATTTCAAACTTAAAGCTTGAAATGGAGAATTTTTCTACCATTTTTCTTGCTTTTCTGATTTTTCGTGTAGTGACGGAGGAAGAATACTTTGACATGGTACTGTTTATGTTTTTATGCCTATGCTGGTTACCATTTTCCATTAGGTGATGTATCCACTTCTTTTCTATTAAAGGTAACCTAAAAAAACTCATTTAAGAAGTTTGGAGGTAGTCAATTAATGGTAATAATAAAATAATTTAAGGCTGTAAAATACCAAGAACAATAAAATATGTCAATCTATAGTAATAATATCTAAGAAAATGTGACGTTTAATAAGTACTTAATAAAGACATTGTGATTTAAGTATTAACTAATTGTGTAATTCTTTATGTATCGATGTGCAATTTATATTTTTCTTCATTGCACTTTAAATAAATTATTTAAGCATGTTAATTATAAACAGTGTTATCAAGAGATGGATTTAGTTATATTTAAACATGCTTGTTTTACGCAATCTACTGCTTTTGTTATAAGTAGAACACTTTCGTATTACGAAATAATTTTGAAATACCTTGACACTTCAGTATATTTTTTTTAATAAGTATGTGTACATATTTATCTTGCATATTAAATTTAAATGACATAGTGCAGCAATCAATATAATAAATATAGGTTTAAAAAAAATAGATATATATTTGATAAAACGTTGACCATTACAGAAATGGAAGCTTTGGAACAAAGGAGCTTGGTAACTACCTATATATTTATAAATAGCTGTTGTTTATGTATGAGTAGGCATATGTTTAATATTGTCAAATAATGTTGTTTTATAATTTTGTAGTAGACGTACAGAATATTTATTAAATCTTACATAAGTACATACTTATATTGAAAATTAGATTAATTTTAATTACATTTAGGTATACTTTATATTAGGTAATTTTGTTGATATTATTTTATAAAAATATTAAGAATAATTATACTATGGTTTGAAAACAAAGAACATTAAAAAAGTATTTACCACTTATAGGGAATAAAGAAAAGTAAAACAAATAATAGCCCTGGCCAGCAGGGTAATAGTATGCTAAATGCTCCTAATATATAATTGCAATGGGTCCAGTTGTTTTTAAGTTACGGCGTGATCAAGAGGAATAGAAAATTATATAAATATATATATAGCTAAACATCTGGAAAACACTACACAGAATGCCTACAGAACTAAGAAGTTTGTTAGTCATGTGAAGGTCGTATCTATTAATAAACTTAGAATTAAGGTACTTAAATAATAAAATTCATAACACACGGATTCGATTTCTGCAGCATTGTCAGAAATATACAATAGTGCGCTCTGATTAATCGTTATAAATCAGCACAAAGTACTAATTATTTGGAAATCTATGTGTTGTTCGTCAGATCATTCTCCAAAATTGTATAAATCGTAATTTTTATTCGCCTAATGGTAACAATAATCTACTACCTACTAGAGATGCGATTGGACTTTCCTTATTAGCTAAACGTGCAGGCACATTACTTGGAATTTTTCACTGCATTTTTCTTGCCTTTCGGATATAGACCGTCGATGCCTTTACCGAAAGGTGTTTGTGAATTCGTTGTCAAATAGTATGAGCCTCGGGCACTGAAATAAGAAAATAAATCCCACCTTAGTAAATATAACTCTTAACCATAACTTTCTTTGTGTAACCGGAAGTCTACTAGATATGTCTACATATATAGTACTGTATATCAAATAAAGAGTTGAGCTAACATTATAATGTAGTTAAAATGTATAATGCTAAAAATGCTACCCAAATATTTCCAATAACAACATTCTCAAAACAAATTTAAATGAATATTAGATGATAAATGACAATTTCATGGTTTAAAAATTATTCAAATTCTAATCGAATATATTTATATTTGCATGGTTATTACAAGTACACATGATAAGTTGAATCTGTCGTCTGTCAGTAATGTATTTTCTTCATAAATATTTGTTAGAGTGCAGCATGTGCTATGCCTATTATTAGGCATAGCATTAACTAGGCCAAACAGTTACTGACATTGTAATATTAGATCGTCCACGGTCCTGGTCCTCATCCTATATTATTGTTGTTTACAGCAACAGCTATTACCATAGTTAACATATTAAGTAACTGACTCTCACCTAGTATCACAGTTAACTCCCATGTAAATCATCCCCACCTCGGGCGTAGGATTTTCCCTAAATTTCTGATAAGAATACGCAGGAGATGCAGGGAACGCCTCAGGGTTCCGTACCGATTCCGCGTAGAATCGCCATGATCTCCAATGACTACATAAATCTGAAATTATTAAAAATAGGTATATAAATATTGTTAAATAATGTAAACATTTTTTATGTGACTGGAGTAGAATACGGGTGTGTGTGACCAGGTACCATGGGTGTTACATCATGATGTTATGTCGGGTAGGTAGGCAGAACTATAAATAATTTCAGATATGATATTTGAGTAAAAAAAATAAAACTGAACATATTTATAGGGTATGTTCTGTTTTATTTTTTAATTGAAGTCATAATGCAGTAGGTACACATATAAAGTAGTATGAATACAAAAAAAGCTTAATTTTTACAATTATCAGCATAACTAGATAGAAAGGTTTGTTAGGTGGATGAGGATCTAACAGTTTGAGACAACCCTCTATAATGCTAATTATAACATTTACTTACTATCGTCTGTAAGTGGTATAGGTGCAAATCTTGGACATCCGGGCTGCACGCTCTTGCCACCATTGGGCCAGAAATCCACGGTGCCTGTCCTCACTGGAGCACCATACCCACCAGCGTCAGTGTGAATTACGTCGACAAATTCTGCGTCCTTTTCATTTATATGCTCCATTACAACACCATCCGGGTAGAAAGCTGGAAAAGCAGGGTCGAGCGCTGTTACTCTGAAATGTATAAATATAAGGATATCTGTAGAAGTTCGTGTCTATAAGGTTTTTGACAGCTCTTTGATAATGAAGTAAAAATTGGATCAATGTTAGTTAAGATAATAATCTTATTATCTTTTATATTTTTTTTAATGGAACAACTAACGGTTACATATTTAAAAACAATGCTAACAATCGTCAATAACAAATATGTAAGTCATAACTCGAGAACTTTATACTTATAGTTTAATGATAACCAACTAGATGTATCCACAATGAAACCAAAAGTAGATATTATAATAACACTAATGAAAAGAATAATAATAATAAATAATAGTAATAATAACTATTTTACTATAATTGTTTTGTAAATTTATACTAAAAATTAATTTTACGTATTTATATAGATAATCTTACATACATACATAGTATAAAAAGAGAGAGGAACTTTCTGTTCGTCTAGAAACTATTAAACCACGCAACGGATTTTAATGCAGTTTTTAGCAATAGACGAAGTGATTCAAGAAGAAGGTATATATGCATAATACATGATACACCATTGAGAAGCTGGAGCGGGTAGCTGTAGTAGCAGTAGTATGAGATGAAAAAGTATCCAAATGAGATAATCTATGGGGTAGATAGTTGGGATTATAAGTACATGATAATTTTGCATACTATCTATATATTAACATTCAGTCATACTAAATAGTAAAATAAAGTTTGTGTACAGTACTATTAATATCTATTCCGCTAACTAATAAACTATGTAGGTAGAATTTGTAAAAATTTGGTAGAATAGGATACGGGATAGAATGCAGAACTATACAGATATTAAATTAAATATATATTATATATAGATAGATTAGCAGTTTATATATAGGCATTACTACTTGCCATAAGGTGGTCAGCTTGTTTCTTTTTTAAATAGCATAAAAAAAAAAAATAATATACAAACCTTTTAATAGTTTTGTTATATTTTGTTTTCAGTTCTCTAGCAGTATATCCTGCCACATGGCTGCCCAGCGAATGTCCTATGAGATGAAGTTTTTCTAAGCATAGTCCAGAGTCCAATAACGTTTTAAGATGGTCTGCCGTCACGATTCCAACCTAGAAGTAAATAACAGAAACTTTAACTAAAGTCACATAATTTTGACATAGTGTAAAATAAAGTCTCTGCTGCCTTCTTGCTTAAATATTTTAAACTACGCAACGGATTTTAATGCAGTTTTTAGCAGTACATACAGTTTTTGTGTATAATATATGTAGGTACACTCGTGTGAAGCCAGAGCGGGTAGATGGTTCTATATATGACTAGTGGTAGGTTTTTTATATGCTCTAATTTTGTACACAACATAAATAAAGTATACATAAATATATAAGATTACAGCAATTTACAAATCATTATCATCATTACATAGTATAAAATAAAGTCGCTGTCTCTACGTATGTTTACATTTTAAAAACAACGCAACGGATTTTTAATTTTTAGATAAAATGCGTATTGGATAATATGTAATGCGCACCCTATATAAACGTATATAAAACGCGCATTATACATCTTATAATTATTAACACATTTTCCCAAAACGTATATATGCTCAATAGATAACCAGTTAAGTTTGATGTATTATTTTAAATATAAATATACCACATCAATATTATTACCCTAGTCAAACTAGAATTAAAAAATAGATATGGTAATCAGGTTACTAATTAATTTATTATACTTTATAGCTACAATAAAAATCCATGATGCTTATGGAACTACGTACTAATATAAATTGATTATGTACATTCGTATAGTGACAAATGATAAATTAATATGAATAACGCGTAGATTGGTTATTAGTTTTTTAGTAACTTGAATGTCAGGTAATAAGATAACCATTTGATGATAAATGACAAATTAATCTAATTGTATTAACTTATTTCTATGTTATTCTTCCAGAGATATACTTTGTACATAGTTTGTTTTATAGGTGACAATGGAACGGTTCACCCGCTTACGTTATAGGTTTTCGATGGCACCAGTGGAGGATGACAAATGATCATGAGGTCAGGTCAGTTAGCCCATCGTGATAAATTTATAAAGAATTTATCAATATGGTTTCCAGGAGGAACCCCGTAGATGGTTACATTGTTAATAATTGGGTCATCAGTCCACATTACCAACAATCCCCTTTCCCCCTTTAACTTCGAACAAAGTTGTGTAGGTAACGTAACTCTGTCTCGCGTATTTTAGGTACCAGGTAGCTTGCTAATCTGTGTTTCGCTTGTAGAGAAAAGGCAGTGCAATTATAGGCTATGGGCCATAGCATCTTTGTCATTTCGAGTGGTACCACAGGAGAAATACCTGAGGATGTGATGATTTGATGTTATACATGAATACAGGCAACGGTTGATATTTATTGTGAGGTGGCCAGTGAACTCGAATGTCATTCTAGTTTTACACGTCAAAAAAACCCTTTAAACTAATACACACCTTAGACTACGTAACGTAATTGTTGTATTGCCAAGCAATCGTCCAATCCATCCCCTATCATATAGAAGAGAAATATAAAATTGAAAGAACTGAAATTTTGTAAAATGTTAAAATGGCTCTGTACAAGTTTTTTTTATTAATAACCTTAATGCTGTTTCTTCATAACAACATGGCATTTTATTATGAAGCACGTCTACGGACAGCCAAGTGGAATTTTTATGAGAAACGGAATTGCTAATAGCGGTCATATGTGCTTATATGGCTTTGGTAGTTAATTTATGTTGTACTTTCAGTGATTCTTATAATTTGTTGGGAACATCATATTAATTATGTCATACCGATATTCCATACAAGTAATATGGGATGCTACCTAAATGCAGTAAGGAAATTGGAAAGATTTGATTTTTTTTTAATAATTCTATGTTACCAAAATACGAAATATCTTTAGTATCGTAATTTATAACTAACACTACATCTTGTAGCATTGAAAGTTACATGTCATAGCACAAATAACTTAATATTACATAGTCATAGTAATATTATTTTGTATCATCTATATACATAGAGTAGTTATTTTAAGTTATGTTCATAAGTTGGCTGATCGTGGAATAGAGGGAAGATAGCGGTGCTGACTTCCTAGTATCACACAGTAACGCTTTCAATCAATATTCTAATGATATTTGGCGACAATTAAAATATTTTTGTTAAAAGTTGCAGTTGGAAACTGTAGATATGTGTTTGAAAAGAAATTTTGTCTGAGCTGATATTACGTTGTAACGAAATACAATGTAATATCGGCGTGGTGTCATGTAATCAGCGGAGTCATGACCGTGACATGTTACCGTTGTCGTTTTCGAGGTCTCTTGACGTTATAAACAAAAGCATTATTATCTATTGTAAATATTGTAAGATTTGTACATGCAGACGAGTCGTTACGTATTGTTAATTTGGATTTAGGTTAAAGATTTCTTATTAAACTTAAAATGTATTTATCTATAACAACATTTGTAGATATTACAATAAAACAAGATCTCTTTAAATATGCTTCGTAGTTTAGAAAGTAGATCAAACAAAATGGAATACGATCTTTTAAACTCCATGAAAGTTAAATTATTAGAGAAAATTATATATAATCATAATTGTATTGCTCACCTTTTTTGTATTTCTAACAGCGTTGACTAAGTAAGATCCATGTGACATATTCGACCAGTCAAGAAGGACAACGTTTGTACCCGGCTTCGCTTCAAGGTATGCACTCGCTACGACCTATAACAAAATAGTTCTAATAAAATACAATAAAAAAAACTTTTTTCATTACATAAGAGCATTTTTCGGCTCGTCATTCATATACATATCCTTTTTAAGATAGATTGATAATAATTTTTATTTGTATTTTAACTCCAGTCTCATAACTCCGATATTTATCATAAATATAGAACTTGATCCATTTCGTAGATAGTATTGCTTATTTATCTCCAAAATGTTTGATATTAAGTACGCCATGAAAAGAAAAATAATAGATAAGGAAATGAACTAATTACGCTGGGAACTTTGGAATTGGGTTTCATTTTGTATTGCCTCTTTTCTTGCAGCGTTGTATTTATACACGCATATGAAAATGCGTTAGTAGTATGATGTCGTTAGAATGGAAAATAACCATGCCAATTTTACATAAATTTTATGTACAGTTAGGGAAAATATTGGATGACAAATCAAACCTAGTTCAATTGAGAATCTCCATTATCTTCTTGCTCATTTTCAACCTTTTTCACTTTTGAAATGGCCAACAAGCTAATCTTACCATCAAATAATGGTAAGTTACAAACAATGCCTATATATTTACATTGACAACACTCCTTTTTTCATATTACAGTTAACCCGAAATATTTAGTTTTGTTACTAATGTTGTGTAATATATTTTGGATACACGAATTCTGGAACGTACTTTAAGCAGTGGTTCAGATAGTGACACAGGGGGGGAGGGGATTGTTAGTAATGTGGACTCATGACCCCAGTACCAATGTACCATGTCAGGTTGACTTCCACGCGGTTCCCCCTGGAAACCATCGTGATAAATTCCTGGTGAATTTGTCACGATGTGCTAACTGACTTGACCTCATGTTCATCTTATTATCCTCTACTGGTGCTCCGCCAGCGTAAACCGTTAGCGCAGGCGGGTGCACCGTTCCGTTATCATCCATAAAAAAACATTTACTAAAATATTGTTAGTTGACCTTAATAAATAAAAAAAACCTCATTATTTGCTATTTCCGAGGACTAAGATGTCTTATCTCACCATTCAATGAACACATCTCAGTAAAGAATTTGCTTGGCGGATAAGGTATACGAAAAAAAGGTTCTATTCCGACTTTGTACAAAGTGAACCTCGGTAAACTGTTTTGAAGTTGGCGAAATTCCATTTATGAAGCAGGTTTTAACACAATAGGAGTTGGATACACATTTATTCTACAAACCACACATAAATCGCAATAATTATATTTTTTTGTACAATCAGAATAATTGTGCATGGCAATTGTCTCCTCCGCAATTACCTATTATTATAGTTATCGTGATTGTGAATATTATTCAAACAGTACAAAAGATATTGTATTCGTCATCGTAAACTATCGTCGTCGTTTTATTCAAACAAAGTCAAACGGCTTATTACTTTTACGATAAAAAAGATATTAAACGGTGACTATATAGGACGAATATATTAGGTAAATAGGGTGAAATATAGTAAGTATGATGCAGACGAAGTTGCGCGGGTCAGCTAGTATGCGATAACTAATAATTTGTATAAGTACCTGAACGCTTTCCTGCTGTGCTGTTTCGATGAATCCATGAAAGTATAGAACTGTAGGGTTATTTCTGTTAAAACCTTTTGCGTCAAGAAGCTGGTTAGCTTGAGATAGTCGAATGTCCACGTAGTCATTGGCGGTATTTCTGTAATGTAAATATCACAAGTCTGTTATATATGTACGTGATGGCATAATCTTGCTTCCTATGCTGTCATTCTAGAGGACTAACTTACTATGCCTCCGTACCAAACAGTTTTATGGTTAATGTCAGATTTGGTTGCCCCAGTGGTGTAGTGGTATAACACACTGTTTTACTTCCGACGGTCGCGGGTTCGATATCTTGCACGGTGCAAACATTTGTATTTATGAATATGATTGTTTGTATCGGTCTGGGTATTCTGTGTATATTATGTACTATTTACAAAAAAAATATTTAAGTATTTATGTCATTTGTCTAACACTCATAACACAAGCTCTGCTTATCGTTGGACAAGATGGCGCTGTGTTAATTGTCCAGTGTTATTTATTTATTATTCTCATTGTAAACACGGTATTCTGTAACGTAGCCCTAGTGAAAGATGAGTCTAAGTGGTGTAATTATATCATGGCGATTTCATAAGAATTCACCAAAAAGACTATATGACCTATAAGTATGATATCTGAAGTATCATATACATGACCTATGTACATAATAAATCGCTACTTTTGATAGAATCCAGCGATGTTCTAAATTTAGACAATAATCCACGTGTCATGATTCCGCATATGTTTCTGATCTTTCTAGGGGAATGAAGTGAGCCTTTATAATATTAATTCGAGTTAGAATCGAAACAACTGAGTATACAACAGGTAAGTGTTGTTAACAGAATTTTATTTGGGTAAATTTACCGACACGTTTAAAATAGTGATAACAGAATTTTGTTTCACAAATACATAGCTAGACACCTGACGTATAGATATACACCTACGGTCGTGAAATTTCTAAAAATTTTTCTTTAGTGGGAGTGTTCATAGTGAAAACATTTGGCGAAATTGCAATTTGTGCATTGATGAATCAGTCAGAACGAAACGATTATTACTTATTATCTATAATTTAATGTAGTACAAAATAATTAACACGTTTGTTAGCATGGGGTGTAAGCAATCACAAGCACAGATTAATTATCACCTTATTACAGTACTTGACTGCTTGATTGAATATCAGTCACAGTATGTAATATATTATGGTTGGAAACAAATTTCTCAGATGTTTATTAGATCTATAGATTTATTGGTTTTACATGAAATTATTTCCATTAATATTATTAGTGGAAAATGAACAACGTATATATTAAATAAATAACATATGCGAAAAATTGTTATAAATATTTATTTATTTATTTTCTGTTTCTGGTGAAAAAACAACGTATATAAAAAAAAAAAATATGCAAAGAATTAAGCTAGTAAAAATCCATTAGGTGTCTGAATTAATTATGACTGAACTACATGAAAAAACTATATGCAGTTATAAATATTAATTTTGTTTTACTGTATTAATAAATTTAATTTGCATTTACCGCTCATCACACTGTAAGCGGCTTAACCGATAGATAGCACCTATTCATAAGCGATATATTCAATTGTAGAGCCTGGACGATTTTCCATACAAGCGACACGATGATCTTGTTTACAAATATTGAATTCGTCACTATCTCAACTACTGCCGTCTGTCTATTTTTATGTTGTATATTGTCCCAAAATAATATCGTATTCACTGTCAACGTCAGAATCTTATAGTTGCAATGTAGTTTGCGTATAGATACTAGTTTTAATCTATTCACTATAAGAGACTTTGATTTCGTTTTCTATTGGCATATTGTCAACTGGAATCAATTCAATTCTTAAAGGGCTAACGTACTGCTATTACATTCAATTAATATCGTATTCAATTAATTAAGATAATTGAACTGTATTTTAATAATTTCGATTCATATCCCATTGTAAGATTGTTATTCAGAAACATTTTCACTGGATTTAAGATGTTAATAATACTATTTCTACCAATAAAAATTAATGGCTTTTATTATTTTACTATTTTATATTTAAAATTTATTTCTATTATAAGTTATTTATATATTTAACATGTATACTTATAAACTTTTAACTGCAGATACCTACAAGCTCGCTATGATTTCATTATTATATAAACACTATATAGTTTTTATATTTTGTATGTAACTGCAATGGCAAAAGAGATGACTGTTTACCTGGTCATAAATATTAACCATCGCCTAAATACAGGAATAGCGCTATGGTTATTAGGCCATCCAGTGACGACCCTGATAACACTCATGAAATTGATTCCATTCCGCAGGGCGAAGATGTCATGCTTCTGTATACTGTAATTTCACTGCGCTATCTCACTTTTCAACCGAGACATATATCATAAAGTCGTTAGGGTTGTAATAATTGAAAAACAGGTACCCACGCAAAGTCTTGTAGTCTGTCTAAATTTACCTAGATTTAATGAAAATTTATTTAGTTTGTATGCTTGTATTCTGTACACACATATGTAGCAATATAAATGTCAGAAAGTATATACCCACAACCTTATTGTAGTGAATGTTTGTGTAGGCTGGTAAGTAGCCTAAAAACGTGACTCGAAAACGTCCACATTAGGAAATATTGACCTGGTTGTAGTTGGCCATGCAGTGAAGGTCAGGAATAATACAATACTTTTACTCGTAATCAAATAAAATAAAACAATGGTGTACCAAAAAGAAATACTATGCCATAGGGAAAGGAGATTGAGATCTCATTGCTAGAAATGTACTATATCAGGTCGACCTCCACACCATCCCCTAGAAACAATCCAGGTTAATTCCTATTTGAAAGAATTTGCCACGATGGGCTAACTTTAAAGTTAATAAGTTCAGTTTACTTTATTACATCTTAATTTATATTAAATTTTATAATCCCTCCTTTCATTATATTATCTATATTTATATTATCAATAATTTAAGCAATGCAACAGCTAAGAGACTCCAAATACAGTTTATTTCAAAATATTGTTAAGATAACTATGTGAGAGGTGTTTTCAAGTGGCCAAGGTAAACCATATTCAGAATAACCAAATTAAAACAGCCTTATATGAAGAAGTCTTGTACATAAGCATAATTTGACTCTCTAACTTCGTATATCATAGTATTTTAACTAATTTTCGTGGTTTTTAATATAGTTAATCGGGTATTAAGCCGAATAATTTTACGGTAAATTAGGTATTTATTTATCTACACCAACAAGTTGCAATAGCCGTGGTCACGAGCTGAATAAAAGCACAGTGATGTCAATATCGGTCAGTGCCAGCACCTTTTTAACTACCGCCAATACATTGTCCAATGAAATATCACGACGCACAGGACACACAATAACTGATGCTACCGAACGTTGTTTATATTTACTTATCAATTAATCCCACTCAAATGATAATTTTAAGCCAAATTAATGGTTGCAATTAGTATAATTTTTAATTATTAGCGCCTTCTACAACTACTAAGACAGGAACCGCCTAATCCAGTCAGTTAATGAGCACTGCTAGTCGATACGTCAGAGAGCTTTTACTTATTGTAAAATTATTAATGTTAAAGCATGTTAACTATATTAATAACGTATATTTATTTTCGTAGGTCAAAATCTCTTAAAAACTTGTATAAGGGTGAAAATAGTTCGTACCAAAGGTCATAAATCTTGTATTTGTTCAAGAATCCTTGTACAATTGGAATCCCTGATCATACTACATCGGCGGGTATCCAGCTGGCAACGATGTTCTATATATATTTTCTAAGCTAATATATAAGACTGAAGTTCTTTGAAAGTTATCTGAAAACACCAATGGATTTGAGAAAAAATCTATTTTATAGCCTGACTCTTAGTTCTATTCTGAGTTTTTCTATTTATTATTATTGTTGTGATAATATGATTATTAGAGTCAAGAAGAGAAGTGGTCCGTGTGCTAGCTATATATTGATTCAGGTTAATATCATGGCCTTTCTAGATGCATGAATCGTATGTATCGACATGTAGCTACATATTTAAACAACTATTATAAATATAGTGTCGCGTGCGGTTTATCGTTGCCGGAGATAAGTAGGGTTATACAACGGTATGTATAAAGACCTACACACGATATTTAAATCAGGAGGAATGATATTTAAATCGGATAGCTTCCTATATTGCCTCGTGTGTGGCGGAATTAGGGCCCAATTATCATAAGGTGCAGTCACAAACTACGTTACACGTTAACGACCGACAAATTATGAAATAAAATAAGGTATTTTTTTGTGTGCATGTAAAAAAAACCCTAGCTTTTTCAAGAATTAATACAGTCTCAGGCAGAGTTCTAGCTATGGATATATGTGGCATCGTATTTCAATTAAATTGAAAGTATTAAAACACGGAATTTTAATTACTCACCCATTATAAAATCTCAGGTAAATGTCTTCAATCTTATTACTTCTATCAGGTAGTATACCTAAAACAAAACATTAATATTAAATTATTTTATAATAAATTATATACAAGATATATAAGATGATGTATGTAGGTAGATGAACTAAGTAATAAATCCAAGCGTCGGTTTTATACATAAGGTCATCACTTGTTTACTTATTTTAAGTAATTGAATTCCTGTTTACAGTGCAATAAATTTGTATCAATTAGTACCGATATAAGAGCTTATACTATAATACTAGCTGTGCCCCCGGTTTCACCCGAAATTTATAGTCTATGTGTTATTTTATTACTGTAAAGTTTCACTTCACTAAAACTTCATTCACTGATTGGTACCTACAATAATAGTAATAATTAGTAGTAATAATCTTTTTAAAATGGCCATTTAAGTAAAAAATATTACATTAACATTTATTTTTTTATTTTTTTTCTTATTTGTTACCAATACAAAAAACATACTTTTTTAATTAATTACTTATATTTAATATGTGAGAAGTTGATTTATTTAAAAACATAGTATGAAATCCGACCAATAAATACAATAAATAGGACTCAATTAAAATTAAATAAGGTTTTATAAATCTTCGTAAATAATTTATGCCTTGTGGCACTGACCTTAAGATGCTAACGGCATTATCTCGCTAAAGCCAGGCACAGTAAATACTAGTAGGTAATATTATAAATAATAAGATATTGAGTAAGGAACGCATCAGATTTCTATATTAATTATCAAATAATCGATGGCTGCATTCCTATTAATAACTTGCTGATATAAATAAACTTATGATTGTTATGAAAAGACCCGTATGATAATTCGGAGTATATGTTTTATAATTCAAACTACATAGTATTATGTCAAGTTCAATTACATGCAGATATAAATTTGGTTACAGTTTTAATTGTTTGAATGTATACAACTTTGTAATAGACACCTACTTAAAATATATTTCAGAAAACTTAGTGCGAATCATACTTTTGATGCTATATTTTCTTTTGTCATAGACACATTTTAGAGTTTGACTTATTGTGATAAGAAGTAAGTCGGTATCTATTAATAAAATCAGCTGTATTGTCATATATCAACTCTTAATAATCATATAAATAAAGTCATTTTCATAGAGATTTTAACAATAGGGATTACTGTCCTCGTTGCCAGCGATGCACCATGTAAGGTTACTTTGAGAGGGGAGCTCCACTTGTTAATTAATATAATATACTTGTTTTGAAATAGTTAAAATATGGAGCATCCTTTTGCTTCCAGTTCTTATTTTCCATTGTTTTTACTTCTAAAGTTGAAATTTAAGTGGCCGTATGTTTTTATTGGTGGCCAGTATTCATCACGATTTATTCCTCTTACATCTTCACCACGACAGGCTAACTGATCTAACCTCATGCTCATCCTATCATCATCAACTGGTCTACCGCTTGCGTATATTATTAGCCATTTATTAGATAGATTTACCCCACTCTGTCATCATACGTATAAAAAAACTAATATTTATACTATTATTAGATTTATAATTTTATATTACAAAACACATTTTTATATATATTATTATATTACCTGAATTACATACCAACATTAGATTCTGGTTCAGCGTAAGTGGTAGTATATGCAACTCTATAGAACAGAAATAGAAAAAGCAAAGCTAAAAATAATGTGGCCATAGTTTACAGCACAAACTTCAGTTCGTTACTAATGTAATGAGACTGTTAGGTCTCTTGGAAAACTACTTCTAGTACATTAGTATATGGTTATTTATCGTGCTATTAGGTAAATACAATGGTGCAATCTTGGAAATTACATTTGAATTATGCAATTTTCCCAATTGGTATTCTGCGTACAATGACAAAAAGAGTCGCATTACTCTCAATGGAGCATATTGAATTGACTAAATCCATTCAAGAGATCAATGGAAAATTTGATATTATTATTTTTTTATCTATACATATAAATAAAATTGGAGTTTCTGTTTGTAATATTGAAATAACCGTTTTTTACAACATGCATATAAATACGGCACATACACCAAAATAACATTTTTTACAATTTTTGTCTGTCTGTCTGACTGTCTGTTTGTTCCGGCTAATCTCTGAAATGGTTGGACCGATTTTGACGGGACTTTTTTTGGCAGGTAGCTGATGTAATAAGGAGTAACTTAGGCTACTTTTATTTTAGAAAAATAAAGATATTCTCCACGCGGGCGAAGTCGCGGGAACAGCTAGTAATAAATTTTATAAGACATGTATTATAATAACAAAACAAATAATATTCACGATTCTAATTTATGGTAATTGGTTAGTATAACGTAAATTAACAGATACTAAAGCATATGTACTACATATTAGGTATATTATACTTTATCTCATATCTTCGTACATATCGTACTATATAATACTTAAATAATAATAAACACTATAACTATGTAATATTATCTTATCTGTGCTATAAGTAACATTGTACTTGCAATTTTTAACCGATGTTTTCTCACTTCAATATGATATATTAAGCTAACTGTATTTTAGGGTTGCTAGTTGTAAATTATTAAAAATTATTAACTTTATACTGGCATTATTAAATCCTTTAAAATAAATTCTTGAATTAAAAATGCTCAGGATATTTATAAATATTTTTCGTCAAAAAGGTTTCTTAAATTCCATCAGATATTACAGTCGGCAAATTTTGTATTAGGATTTATGTTTGTAGGATTGATACATGTCTTTCTTATAGTCCACGAAATTCCAATTTATGAGAATATCGATAGTAATTCTTATGATTGTTTAGAACTTGTAGTAACAATCTATTATTATTGACAGCTTCATAACTAATTCACAGTCAGTTTCTTCTTGGTCAGCCGTCAAAGTTCCATTTAGAATGACAAGCGGAAGAGTGTAAGATGAATTTTTAATCATTCAATCCGGGTCAAGCTGTTGTCTCGCCGAGGCTACACATGTCAAGTTCGATATCATATGATATTTGAAGTATGAGCGCTGTGGAATAGTCAACTTTATAACTAGTTGTACCCGCCATTTCTGCGAGTACCTATACCTATATATGATAAGCAATATAATAATAATCTCAGGACAATTCACAGAGCGCCATCTAGACCCAAGTGAAGCAAGCTAAAGCTTGTGTTATGGATACTAGATAACTGATACAAATACATAGATATATATTTTTTTGGTAAATACATATTATACATAGAAAATACCCAGACCGATACAAACAATCATACTCATGAATACAAATATTTGTACCATGTGAGGCGGTGTGCTAACCGACAGACCACTCAGGTCGTTAATTTAACAATTATAAACTGAATTGAAGTAAAAAAAATACCTAACATTTTTAGAGCTCTGTCTCATATATGACTGTTTGTTTACATGTATGTTGCTTTTTATATACTTTTTATGACATATATTTTTTCTCGTCCATTATATCCATCGCCTTATTATGGTTGACTGGTAGAAAATGCCGTAAGGTGTAAAATCCGCCATATGTACATATTTTTACTTTAGTATTATTGAAATTATAAATAAACTAGCTTCTCGCCCCGGCTTCGCCCGGGTGTACATATATTATATTATATAAACCTTCCTCTAGAATCACTCTATCTATTAGAAAAACCGCTTCAAAATCCGTTGCGTAGTTTTAAAGATTTAAGCATACATAGGGACGGACAGACAGCGACAGCGACTTTGTTTTATACTATGTAGTGATGATGATGATAAATATATCAGCCGTCAATTTTGTATTGTATTATGTATGGTAATGTCTGTGCTGTTAGTGTACTCGTATATAGTAGTACTAATTACCATCAGTTGGGCCAATCATTTCAATTATATAAAAATATATTCATTGATTTATTATTGCGAACGTTAATTTTAGTTTTTATTAACATTTTTAAAAATCCTTTTTACAGCTGATGCTAATAATATAAAATTAACATATATGTATTAATATTTAATTACAATTTTATAGACTTACCAGCTTTAGCTGTGCTTCGGTAGGAACTCGGAATAAATTAATTTAAGTATATATTATTTAAATTAGATTATATTGAAAATGAACAATTATTACTGAATTATGTCACCCGACCTTGACTCGATCATAGAATAAAGAAAACAAGAATCAATCAATTGCGTACAATATTTAACGTCATAAACATTGTAGAATCAAGAACGACTAGAATACAACGAATTAAAAATAAAAGATCCATTTTGAACTTATTTAACTAAAATGTTCACTCAATCTTTTGTATAAAATATGATATTTTATAATATTCTAAACTTATTCAATTTAATTAATAAAAAAAACTGACATAGTTTTTGACTCGATATACCATCAACGATATAGCCATACTGCTAGATGTATACCATATTAGGTCGACCTCCACGCGGCCTACCTGCAAACCATCGTGGTTAATTCAATCAGTATATTAAGTAATCAGTACAGTACCAAGTATTTACTTGGTCTATACTAAGGAATATCTATATCTCTAGACTAGTCTCTAATCATATTACATCAAAAAAAACATTACATACACGTAAAAGTCAAGGTGTTCCTAATGATGTCAGATTACGATATTAGGCGTTGGTGATAACAATACCGTTATCTTTGCAAAGCAAATCATTTTAATCACTGTTTATGCGAACGCGTATTTATATAGGAAATTGTTAATGATAAATCTAGCTTCTGAAATCAGTTTTATAATCTGTTTATCAAAATTTGTACTTTAATTGAATTCTTGATTACATATCGTTTCATTTAATTCGTGGAGGATTGTTGTCGTGGTTACGACTATCACGTTAACTTTCTATCATTAAGTTATAATAAGGTGACTACACAAAATTGTCTATATTAGCGCAGATAACATATTATATTAGTAACAAAAAATAGACAATTTTTGATATAAGTGAAACAGTTATATACTAATATAATAAAAGAGAAAGACTTAATTCTTTCGCGGGTCCAGATAGTTTATAAATATATTACGTGGTAGATGATATATCGTGGTTATG